CTGTATAAATAGTATGGTTCTACATTTGTGTTTCCACTTTATATACACATAGGTCGACAAACAAGAAGGCAGGTATGAGAAAAAAAAGAATTTTGTTATCAATAGAGAGGAAGACAAATATCTCTTATCTCGCAGAGATTTGACCGATGTGACTAATGGTAGAACTTTTATCTTTACTTTATCAAGTGTCGTAAGTATTTCTTTTCACCTTTATTTGGTGAAATAGAAATAAGTAGATCAACTTTCCCCTGGTTGACCAAATTAATAAACTAGACGAAATTGAGACATGAGTTAGTGTTCATGAATACCGTCAATATCATACGAGTGATTTGCACCAGTGGTGTACTGTTCGTGCGAAAAAGTGTCAAATAAAAACGTTGCTCATGATGAAAATTCAAGTAGTCGTAAAATTAGCCTGTGAGAGTAGTTTATACCCCTGCAGACGTTCGAAGTATCCGTTATCGGTGAGTAGACTAACTGCTGGCTGATCCTTTTATCTTCCATGATCTAGTTAAGCATATGAAATTTGTTAAGCATAATTCACCCAATTAAATATTTTGTGAGACTTACCTGTCAGTTAGTAATTGAAAGTAAATCCAAAGGAGACAGGAACACATCCTATGTAAATAAAAAGAGAGTTATCCATTCACTACACTGAATTGAGACCTCCGTGTTTATCCATTTATAATTTGAAAACACACAATATAGAACTGTTTTTGGCTCAGCAAAGCAAACACTCTAAAATATTTGGCTTATGCTATCCATCTTTCTGGTAACTTATTGTAACTTACTCGGATTGTTGCCACCGCTTTATTTTAAGACGTTACACGAAGAGAAAAAATGTGTCTTCTTTTGTTTGGCATTCAGTCATTGGATATAAAGAACAACGATCATTTCGTATGAAAACTTAGACGTTTGTTTTTTATTTACCATATCAGATCGATACCGTTTTCGTGATTAATACTAGGGTACCTGGATGGTGCTATTAAACAGAACTATTCTCAAAGGTTCAACCAATCGTGAATAGTGATCCACCACTCGAAATCTAAACATATACTCCATCAGGTCTACTAAATCTACCAGAAATAGTCTGCTAACTTCTCTGAGACTTTTGCTGCATAGTAGCAGATTGAATCAAGGATGTGTCTGGATTATGAGAAATCAATTCCAATTAATTGTGAATAGAAAAGTGACAAGCACAGTGCTTTAAAATAAGATCGCATAAGTTGATCGAAAATGAGCATCATCAATGGATCCTAGAATAAGATGTATTAATTGGTCTTATTTGAAGACGCATTTTTTGTAATAGAGTAAGAGAAATAATCCTCAGAAAATGAACAAAATTCGGCTCTCACGATAAAAGTTTAAGCATTTTTACCTTTTACGACTATGTATGATAAATGGAAACGTAAATCACTCGAATAGTTTTATTTTTAAATATTTTCTAGTCGATTGTATAACGCCGGTGACAACCGATGCAGATCGCGATTATCTTTTGAATAAATGTGGAATAAATGATAAACGGCCAGTCATAACCGAACCGTTTATTCAATGGGTTATTGAAGATAATTTTTGTAATAATCGTCCGTCTTTAGAAAATTTATCGTTATATAACGTATTACTGACAGACAATGTCGAAACTTATGAATGTATGAAAATACGTTTATTGAATGCAAGTCATTCAGCGATGTGCTCAGGTTATCTAATGGGTTATCGTTATATTCATCAAATTATTCTTGATCAAGATATAGAAGAATGTATTGAATATTTGATGAATGATGAAATCACATTCACATTACCTCCCGTTCCTGGCATCGACTTAAATTTATATAAAACTACATTGATTACACGTTTTCAAATTCAAATATAAAGATACTGCTATGTGTATGGATGGCGCATCAAAATTTTCAAAACATTTAAATCCAACAATTGTTGAACAATTAAAATCAGATAAACCAAAAGTACATTTTCCATCATTGGTTATTGGTACGTGGTTACGCTACATAACTTGTGTCGATGAACAAAATAGACCAATGATTATACCAGATTCATTAGCTGATCAATCAAATTTGAAAGAAATTGCAAATAAAATAGAACCAAATGTCAAGCATTTATAAACTGTCAGACAAGTATTTGGAGAGTTGGGTACAATTGAGAAATTTATTGATTCTGCTCAACAGGTAGTCAATTTATTGTATTAAAATGGATCGAAAGGGACCCTAAACAACCGCTCACAAGTCAAAATAAATAGAATATTTCATTGTAACGCATGATTTGTTGTTTGCAAAACTGATTCATCAGACAATATCAGACAATAAAATAAAATAGTGTTGGATAATAGTAGTTGAACAACAGATCGTCAAGATTTGTTCCACACAATAGGCATACTGACACTACAAGGAGACGAACATCGTTAAATTCGAAAATTTTCGAGAACATCATCGACGAATGAAGCCTCTATTTTTCTTTGGTAGCGAGCTGACGAAAGAAGACACATTTTTTATTTCTGTTATAAGTCCGTCAACTATCATCCCATTGAGTGCAGTCAAACTTTTTCTGAAACGTTCTGTTAACCGCTTTCCAAGAACGCTAAATGACGAAGGTATGAAAGAAGAAGAAGAAGTAAAGGCGATCGAAACTGACAACTCATCCGGCAAACATATCAAACCTCTTTCGAGTCTTCTTACTATTATAATTGCATCTAGTTTTAGCTTTTAATAGGTTTTGCTTCTTTAAAGTGTCCTTTATCTGATACAATACGAAAAATACGCTCCATATGGCTGATACTGGTGACACTAACTGAAGAGTACCTCAAAGCCGCGTCAAAACTACAAGCTTCAAAGCAAAAGCATTTTTGTAAGGTGCATCTAATTCAGATTCGAGTGAATTTTCTTTTGGGCTTTATTATACATATTCTGATTCGCCAGAACTCGCTGATCACGAATATCACCTTTCCAGTAGGATTCGAGCCTTGCTTCAGGTAGAAAAATTACGAAATATTTGTCGAAGAAGAAAAAAGAGAATTATCAAAAAGCAAATAAAATCTATGTATATGTGTGCAAGCAACACTTAAACTAGATGATATGAATCATTGGTATTCACTATGCATTGTTACATTTCCAAAGATAAAATTTTGAGAATAAAACAAATATGTACTTTGTTCTTTTTCTATGTATCAACAAACTCTGTGATATTATTTCATCGAAATCAAGTTGTTTCTTATGCTGCATTCAATATGCCTGTGAAGAAAATAACCGTCTCTTCTAACAAATAACTAATTCTAGACTGAAACTAGAATCCTCTGAAAACTATTTGTACGCAAACACAGAGACTATTCAGTCACTTCTGTGCAAGCAGTCATTAATAAGATCATAAAGCATATACATTCAAAAAACATTCATTGGAATGTGTACCTGATTGAGATTGCAAAATGATATCATTGCATGAGTCTCGACGCGTTCTGTCTCACAATATACTTATTAGCCTTGAACCAAATCAGGGAATGGACCTTGATCGTTCCTCTCACACACTAGGACTAAAAGCTATCTAGTGATTTCGTCGAGACAATGATCTTTACAATACAAGAGCGGGTAGAGCGTGTTGTCAAACGGGGTCAGGGAATGTGGGTCTCAGACTTCGACCAAGTCGGGAAATGAATCTCCGGAATTTTTATTGCAAAAGTCAGTTTTTCATTTCAGTTCAAATTGTCGACTGACAGAAAGGCTTAGAGACTTTAGAGATTTCCAAATTGGAGACTGGTTGGTTCAAATAGAGCTTGACAAGCTCCACAAATAACATTAATCATTTTGAAAAGGAACGAATCATCTCATAGAAAAATTTGAAATTCCCAAATTCTCACACACAGCAGCCTGCGTATTGCAATAAGAATGGGATGATAGTTGACGGACTTATAGCAGAAATAAAAAATGTGTCTCCCTTTGTCAGGTCGCTACCAAAGACTGTAGCTTCCTACTCAGATTAGAAGAGTATAATATAGGACAAAGTTCACTGCAGAAACCTCGCCAAATATTTCAGCGTCGTTGAACTAAAACTTTGTGCGAAATAGGTGATCTAGTGTGTTAATTTCGAATGTGAGGCTCTTGCGTGTCACTAGAATCCTGGAGACTGTTTTCCAGCACGTCAGTCTGTAGATCAATTTTTGCCAAACAACTTTTTTGATCCACTCAGATCAGTATTTCACCACGAAACCTATGAAAACTCACCGTTCAAACTTTATGGACGGTTCTTTGGCAGTTTTAGTAAAGGGAAGCTAAGAGATCAGGAAGTTGTGAAAATAATACAATACTCATATAGAAAGTCTTATCAATTATCTAAATTGAGAAAATTTTTCTATTAGAAATTAACCAAAATTGAACACGAAATGTAAATTCTTTTTAAAAAGTGTTTTTGTTAGAATTTCAAAAACGAGGATTTATTAATCGAACTAACTTAGATTTGTCATTTTATAGCTTTTTAAACAATTCAAAAATGTGAAAGTAAATCAAATCTATATCATGGATATAAATGTTAAAAAGACGGGAGATAAAGAAACTATGTTGCCTGATTATTATTTCTCAAGAATATT